CCTTTCTATAGGAGAACCATAGATCTCGTGGAGTCGTGGTAGAGGATCTTTCACTTCTCTGCACAACTCATCACAGTACACATAGTGGTGTGCATTCTTACTCACGACAATGAGATAATGAGCAAATGATTGACTCCCTTTTCTCTTTCATTATTTGAGAATATTTTTCACTTATATATACTCATCTTCTCCCATTGAAAATATATATTATATCCATTACTTTCACTTATACATTCCTCATTTCTCAGTCATACTTGAGATACACACATGATGATTCCTCCAAGAGCTTTGGTTCGTATCACAGTCTCTGGGAGCACAGTTACATATTTCACTCATCAAGGGATACAAACCTGGCTGTACTACCCAACAACTCATCATTTTGAAGCACATAAAGTAGATGCAACAGTGAAAAAATTGAACGGTTACAAAACTCCAGCTGGTCTGGATTATTTCCGGTTGTTTTATCTGAGGTTGTTGAACGATTGTAATGAATGATGGAATCAAACCTTTCATAAATGATGAGGTTGTTTTATCTGAGGTTGTTGAACGATTGTAATGAATGATGGAATCAAACCTTTCATTAATGATGAGTGACACGTAAGGCTTTTTCTAATAAGTCAGAATGCTTCGTATGTAGTGCCTGTTTGGATCCTCTTATTTTTAAGCTAGAAGCTACTTATAAGCATAAGCTAGGCCAGACAGGTTTTGGGAAAAGCTCTTATAACGAAAAGCTCTTTTTTTTATAATGAAGAAAAAAGCTGAAAACTAAAAGCTCCTAGGAGGAGCTTTTTTTTAAGCTCTTATCTATTTTTCTTGAATTGTGTGCTTTTTTTTAAATGAAGAGTGATAAAGATAGAGAGAAAGATAATTTTCTTGAAATATGTGATTTTAAGTAATTTTTAAGCTAAAATTTTTATGTAATTTCCAAACAGCTTTTAGCTTATTTTTTTAAGCTCTTTTTTTTAGCTTTAGCTTATAAGTAGCTTCTAGCTTAAAAATAAGAGGATCCAAACAGGCTCGTAGTGTTAGTGCCAAAAAGGAAATGCATATGCATATATATATATATATATATATATATATATATATATATATATATATATCTGTTAGTACGTGGGTTATATATATCAGGTGGGTTATATATATATATATATATATATATATAATATATATATATAGCGAAAAATGTGTGTCCTTTTAAAGGACACACACTTATATCATTTTAAGAGAGATAAAGGAATAAACTATGGGGGAGAGAGAGTGGAGGGAAAAATTTATAATCTCAAATTTAAAAAAAATGCACTACATTCATCTAAAAGGACCATCCTTTTAAATGATAGACATTTTTTCCATATATATATATAATATATATATGTATGGACTTTGATTTTCTCATGTTGCATGAGAATTGAATTCTCATGTTGTGACTCAACTAGTGGTGGATCCCACATTTATTAAAAAAAGAAAAAGAAAAGAAAAGTTTTGCACGCAAGTCGAAGGGTCACAACATGAGAATTCAATTCTCATGCAACATGAGAAAATATTTTTCTTATATATATATATATATATATATAGAAAAAAATATTTCTACGGCCACTTTAGATAAGATTATCTGCAGCTACCCCAAAACTACGTCGTTTTGATTAATGAATGATGTTACTGTAATTTTAAGTGAATTAACGAAGGGTGTTTCAGTAAAATGTATATGATAAAAAAATAAACAAAATTACAGAAACACCTTTCATTAATTCACCTAAAATTACAGAAACACTCTTCATTAATCAAAACGACGTAGTTTTTGGGTAGCTGTAGATAACATTATCTAAAGTGGTTGCAGAAATGTTTACCCCATATATATATATATATATATATATATATATATATATATATATATATATATATATAGGATTTAATGTGTGTCTTTCAAAAGGACACAAGTTGTGTTCTTTTAGTGACTTACACAGAGTATGACTGTTCATACTCTGTATATATACTCTGTATATATATACATATATATATATATATATAGGATTTAATGTGTGTCATTCAAAAGGACACAAGTTGTGTCCTTTTAGTGACTTACACAGAGTATGACTGGTCATACTCTAAATAATCTGAAAAGTTGTTTTTTTTTTCACTTTACACGTCAGTGACGTGACTGAAGAGAGAGAAAAAAAGCAGCTTTTCAGCTTTTCAGATTTACATAAAGTATAACCAGTCATACTTTGTGTAAATCATCTAAAAGAGCACAACTTGTGTCCTTTTAAATAATAGTCTTTTTTCCCATATATATATATATATATATATATATATATATATATATATAGAGAGAGAGAGAGATAGAGAGTTATATTTATCTACTTTTACATGAAATAATTAAATTTCCTACACACACAAAAGCTAGGTGGGTCCCACTTCTTTTTTTTCTCTCTCCTCTTACCTATGGGTCCCACTTGCAATCTTGTTTCTACAACATAAGATAAGCATTTTCCTACAACATAAGAAAATTATTTCCCATATATATATATATATATATATATATCAGATCTGCCGCTCAATAGGTTGTATATATTCCCTGGTTTCGAAATGGTTGATATATGGGTTGAAAATGTTGGAGGAATTATTTTTTCCAAGCTGGAAGTGAATATAGCCTATGTTCATCTTAGCTGGGATTCATGCATGTTTTATAGTTTGGTTTTGCTTTATAATTTGGTAAACATTAGTCATTTCTTGATAGGTATCGATATCTCCTGATTTAGATGCATGATTATTGTTCCGGATGACCCAACGCCATAGTGGCCTAATAGCTTAAGCCCAAGCCCCTTAGCTGCGTCCACGTCAGCCCTACCAACTCACCAGCCCCACGACGCCCGAGGAAGTGCTCTTCCCCAAGAGATACACCAAAATGTCTCATCTTGGGACCCCAACCCTCTGGAGACCGCCCCAAACACCATAAGTGGTAACCGCCCCTCTGTCGCGCGCTAACACCGCCAAGCGCAAGAACTGCATCACTGCTATGATGACAATGTCAGCCTTCCCCAACGAATCCCAATGGGAGTTGACCCCCTCTCACCAACCCCCAGAAGATGGACACCAAGATCTCTATATAAAGCCCCTCCATAGACAGAGAGGGCATCTTATGTATTGTTGTTGAATCCATTTACTTACAGTCTCACAAACACACCCAAACTTCATTGTTATCTTCCTGTAAACTTGGGACATTATCTTCCAGCTAGGTCATTACCTTACTCTGGAGATATAACCCATAAAGTGGCTCAATCCCTAAAGAGAACATAGTGGACTTATATATTCCAACGGTACAATTATGATAACAAATAAGCATATCCTCTCAAACTTGTGTTTTATAGAAAATGCTTGTAGACTTGTGGTAGCGAAAACATTTCCGTGTGCACCAAACATATTTGAGGACATGACTAATAGCATGTCAATTGCATGTACCTATTCAAGAAATTAGATTCTAAGTGAATTATAGAATGTGAAACTGCCTATAGTTAATGTGCACCATGTGAATCCAGTTGAAGACTTAATAAAGTTCAACAAGAAGTTAGGCTGATGCTGCTGGAAGGTCGTAGATACCTCTTCTGTTAGTTGTCTTAACACTTGTAAATTTCAGATTTTTTGGTTCACGTAACATTGAAATATCTTTTCACACTTCACGTAGATAAAGTAGCATCGATGTGTGTGTGTGGAGCAACCACAGTGACTTGAAAGTTGTAATTCATTTTTGGGTTTATTGTGGAGATAAATTTTATCCCTTATATACAGATAAAAATATGTGGGATCCATATGAGTCCATATAAAAAAAAGAAAAGAAAAGAAAAGAATATAAATTCTACATATTTTTATGTGTATGTAAAAGATAATTTATCTTCTATAATATGAGTAATATTAAACCCTTCATTTTTTACGGAGTGGGGCAAAGGAAGAATTTCTTGGAGCTCCTTATCAAGTTGTACTTATTGTCGAATTTAGATTCCAAGTGAATTATAAAATGTGAATCTGACATGATACTGCCATTAATATGCACCATGTGAATCCGGTGCAAGGCTTAATAAGGCCAGCAAAAAGTTGTGCTTCACATGCGGGAAAACCGTACTGCGGCACAAGTTCTATCTGAGGAACAAATCTTGAGTTCATCATTGTATGTACATCGCATCAATTGAAATAAAATACATTAGTTGACATTTAAAAAAAAAAAAAAAAAATTTAATATTATAATTATATATTTCTTCAAAATATATAATTAATAATTTTATTTTAAACTACGTACCTTTTCACTGAGTACTCAATATAATGGATGTACTAAAGATTTGTTCCAATTTGAGGACTCATAATCCACTTTGTGTTGGAACTTTAAGTATAAGTGTAACGTGCATATAAGTGAAAAAGCCACTTGGATAAAGTTAGGACTATATATATATATATATATATATATATATATATATATATATATATAAAGGAAACCCAAACTTTTGGAAAGTTTTCCCATGTGGCACTCCCTGCTTAATTCTCAGATTTCTGTTCACACTACATGGCACCTGCAAACTTTCTTTCTTTAGTAAATTGGAAAAAGATTTTTCTTTTAAAAATCGAAAATTAGTTTTTAAATTCGAAAATATTAAAACAAATGTGGTGGCAGGTAAGACATTGAATGCCCACTGCTGTTCACATTGGAATTGGTCCTCTGTTTTAACGACTCAGCTATTTTTACATTGGAATTGTTCATCTGATTAAAAATTCGAATTCAAATTTTGAAATGGTTTGAAAATTTGAAATTAAAATATGGATGGTGGGAAAATATTTGGAGAGATTTGAGTGGCACTCAGATGCTAATTTAATCTCTGACTGCATGCGTCTATAAAAGGGAGCGTTTTGCATTGTGTTTACGTTTTTCCCTCCGATTTTCATTTGTTCATTATTCGTGATTGTTTCGTCTTTTCCCTATACTGTTTCTTTTCGTCTTTTCGTTCTTCCCAAAAGAAATGGTTTCAAGATATGATTTTATAAAGGATCTTAATCCTACAAAGGAGGACTGGAGGATTAAGGTTAAGGTTGTTCGATCTTGGCAGGTTCCTAACTTTCAGCGTAAAGGTTTAGGCGACAATGTTGAGATGGTTCTGTTGGATGAACGTGTACATAATACATATCATTTTTTGTTTTTGTTTTCGTGGCTGTTGTTGTGATTTTCGTTTTGTGTTGTTGATGCTTTGTCTTTTTTTTTTTTTTTGTAGGGTGGAAGGATCCATGCCACTGTGAAGGGAACTCTTCAGGTTCGGAAAAAAATCACGGATGGAGAAGTGTATTTTATTAAAAATTTCGGAGTTGGATTCAGTAGCGGTAATTTTAGGCCAACCCGTCATGAGTATCATCTGTCTTTCAACTTGAGGACTGATGTTAGATCAATTGTTCAACCTAATTTTCCTGCCAATGTATTTGATTTTGTTGATTACGATGTCATTGAGAAAGAATCGTCTGATTCTCCTTATTTAGTAGGTAGTGTTGTGTAATGTTTAATGACCGTTGTTGATTAACAATATATTTTGCAATTTAAATTATAAAATTAGTGTTGTCTTTTTTGCTGTGTAGACGTCATTGGTTTACTGTCAGGAGTTGGGGAAGTGTGTGAGCATGTAGTTTCCGGCAGGAAGACAAAGATGATTGTGTTAGAACTTGACAATCTCAGTATACAGAATGTTAACTTTTTTACAATGTCTTAACCGAATTATTTCATCTGTAACCTTCTTCTGTGTGCTTCTAATATATAGGGGTCACAAGTTGGAATGCACTTTGTGGGAGCATTATGTGGATGAGGTACAGACTTTTTTGGCAAGCAATGACACTCCTCATAAGGTGATGATTGTTCAACTAGGGAGGATAAAAGGGTTTTAGGGGTATGCGTTTTGTTAATTTTTTTTCTACGTGTATCTCATTTAATTTTAGCTTTTGTACCGTGTTATAAATCGATGGGTGTTCATTGTTTCTGTTTTGGATAGGTAAAATCGGGGTGACGAATACAAAATATACGACCAAGATTGTCATGGATTCAAATTTGCCTGAGATTGTGGAGTTCAAAAAATGGTTTGCACATTATCCTTTTTATTGCTGCTGTCATTTTTTTTATTCAGTCGTATGTAAACTTATGTTGTTGTTAATGTTTGCATTGTAGTCTATCGTCTAATGGTGTGGAAAGTAGTTTGAAATTGACTCAATTGTCTACTCAGTCCTCATATTCATACGAAAGTGATTTCCTTAAGGAGACCGATAGAAAGTCAATCAATGATATCAAGCTGTGTAGTGAGGTGAATGTTAAATTTTCATGTGTAACATTGTGCCTAGCATTACTTTATGAGTATATTTCTTATTTTCATTTCTGCTGTCGTTTATGGTTGCTGATGTCTACCTGTTTCTGTTTTGCATATCTTACTTGCAAGGTTTTTCTTCTGTCCACTGTTTCTGTCGTTTTGTTATGAACCTTTTGTGAGCACGTTTGAGGCCCTTTATTTGTTACAGTTTTTTTGGTAATGCTATATATGTACAGCGATGAATGTTTACATATGTTTTTTTTGCTACTAATGGAAAATAAAATAAGTGTGAATTGGTATGTTGTTCAGTTTTGTGTTGCATTTCTGTATTGCAGGTAACCACGTGCATCACTTATGGGACTATAAAATCAATTGAAAGCAGACACAACTGGTGGTACAGGTCGTGCAATAGGTGTCCATTTTCCGTTTGTGAAGATTTTGAAAAAGGGTACTGTAAAAACTGCCATAAACATTGGGAAGATTATATGCCTAGGTAAAATATCGCTACTAATTTTTAAACTGTGTTTGATCCGATGAGTGATTATCTGTTTGTGATATATGTTTTTTTAAAAATTTATAGATTTAGTGTTCAAGTCAGAGTTGTGGATAACACGGATTCTGCTTCTTTTTTGCTGTTTGATCGAGACTGTGTTACTTTGTTGGGAACAAGTGCTGTTGAATTGCGCGAGTTGCATTTCAAAAGGGTTTGTGTTCTTATTTGGATCAATTAGTTATTAAGTAATATATGAGCGTGATCTGTATGTAAGTTGAAAATTGGTTTTCTTTTTTTATTCCTTTTTCCAGGGTGCTGATACAGAACAATATCCCGAGCAACTAAATGTTCTGAATGAGAAATCCATGCTGTTTAAGATTAATGTGAAAGAAAAAATTTGAACACATACAGTGAGCCAAAATATCAAGTATCTAAGATTTGTATCGGCGAGGAGATAATCACTGCATTCCTGAATGATTTGGTCGACCCCAATGTACGATGTTGAACTGTTCATATGAGGTGTCCACATTTTGAATTCATTTATATGACGGTTTTTGGTTGGTGTTGATTACAGGATGAAGCAACTTTCGATAATGCTCGCGAAAATGAAATTTTATCATTAGAACCAGAAAAGGCTGCGGTAATCCATTATTTCAATTTATATACGTGTTACATAATGTGTGTTCGGTTAGTTATTTGCCTAACATGTGTGCTTAACGTAATATTATTTTTTTATTTGATCAACTAGGATGTTGAAAGTCAGACGTGTGACAGTGCTGATGTTGGTGACATTTCTCTAACTTTATTGACACCTGTGATGAATTCTCATGTTCTAATGTTGAGGAATTTAAGTATTCGGTTGTGCGAACAACGAAAAAAATAAAGCTTGAAAAAGAGTTATGTAGATTCTAATTTTTATTTATATTTTAATTCATAAGAAGAAAAATAAATACGTTACTCATGGTGTCATCTCTGTTGGATTACCTTTTTTTTTTCATGCAACCAATAATTGTCCAAACCATTTCATTTGATGACGCGATACAAATTACTGATTTTTGTATTTTGTTTTTTGGTTTTTGAAATAGGTTTGATGCGAAAGCGTATACAAATTCTCAGTGAACGGAGCAACCATGACCGAATGTCTGATTTTTGTATTTTAATGACCGAATGTCTGATTATTTTGTGTTTCAAAAAACAATATTTTAAATTTTAAAGTGGCATGTAATGGATTGATGATATGCAGCTTACGGTTTGGTCCCTAATAATCTATTCCACTTGGAATTATAAAACAGTCATTAATTGTATACGTGTGCTTTCTTTGGAAATCCATTTCTGCATATTACCGAGATATGAGCAATTGCAATTTATGTTTTCTTGACTGTTGGTTTGCCACTACAAGTTACATCTGGGGGTAAAGAGGCCACATAGTAGTTATGTTTCATCTTACAATTTTCATTTCATCTATTTGTGCATCTGTCTTGAGTCGATGGATTCTTTGCCTTCTGCAAAACGTGCAAGGATGGCTACTGATGGTCATGTGTCCCTGAAAGATCTTCCAAGAGATATCTTGATCGAAATATTTGCTATGGTGGACTCCCAGAGGATATTTGATATCTACAGCCTTGAATTAACCTGTAAAGAATTTCTTGGAATTGCAAGGGATCATTTGATGAAGAAACGTTCTTTGGAAATGTTTTACGCTAACTTTTATCGTAATCTTTGAGTTGTGTTTTCGCTGTTTGAATTATGTGTTGGAATAAGTAGTCTTTAATTTGTTTGAGAGAATTTTTATCACCTGTTGTAACCTGCTATGAAGTGAACTGTGGTGAAGTGAACTGTGCTGTGTTCGTTTAGAAAAAAATGAATATATGAATTGTCTTGGACATTGTCATTTTTCACATTATATAGCAGAATCCCAATTTCTAAATTGCATTGTCTGTTGTTTATGTGTTATGTGAGCGATGTGTAACATATCATTTTATGAAAATTAAATGGCATTGAACCTTATCATTTATATTATCGCAAAAAATATAATACATTTTTGATTTTATAATGCAATTAAACTGTTATGAGTTGCACTCGAAAATATAACATACATTAATTTTCATAGACCTTTTCATCTTGAAAATCGATCGTTTTTTAATTTTCTTTTTTATTGTGCATGCTACCGAGATGTTAACAACTGCATATAATTTTAATATTGACTGTTGGTTTGCATAACCTCTTATCTCCATCAGTATATATAAATAACTGAGTTGTAGTATTTCTTTCATCTCACAAAATATACTCTTCATCTTATCTCCATCGAGTTGTAATCAATGGATGCTTCCACTTGTGCAAAACGTCCAAGGAGTGCTGCTGATGGTGGTGTGTCCAGTGGCGGACCCAGAAAATGATACAAAGGGGGGCGGAAATTTAACAAATCCAAAAAGAAGGGGAAGCTCATAGAACCCAAATTAGGCGAGCACCTAAAACTAACATCATAAAGTTTCATAATGCCCACATCACTACATACCCATATACTTCAGTTATCAAGCACCATAAAGCTAAACAAATAAATTCCAAAAATTATTGCAAACTATAATTATTTTATACCCATTTTTTTCTTTCACTTTCTGTTGGTTTTTGAGCATTCGAACAACATGAAACTACAAAAAGATCAAAACTTTACAAAGAGAAAGTGAAAATACTCACAACAGGAAAATGGGTATCAAGCTTCTTTCTCATGCTAACAGATTTTGGGTATCAAATGAAGCAAAAGAAGGAGACTCAGAAAGTGAAGTCGAAAGCTTTGAACAAAAAGATTGTACTGATCATCAATAAGATGAAATCAATGCAACTCATATCAGATCCAAAGGGCACACAATACTAGTTTTGCTAAAGTAACCCACCAGTTATGAAAAATGAAATATACTATGTATTTTTTTGGAATGTAGACATTTTTTTCAGATTTTAGAGGGGGGCGGCCGCCCATGCACGCCCCCCATGTAGGTCCGCCCTTGGCTGTGTCCCTAAATGGTCTTCCAAGAGATGTTTTGATTGAAATATTTGCTATGGTTGACTCCCAAACGATGTTTGATATCTATAATCTTGAGTTAACTTGTAAAGAATTTCGCGAAATTGCAAGGGATCCTTTGATGAAGAAGCGATGTTTGGAAATGTTTTACGAAAATATGTATCTTTGGCTCTGATTATGCTGATTTATGTTTTCACTGTTGGGGAGTTGTAATGGAATAATTACTGTTGAAACCGTTTGACAATCTTGGTCCCCTGTTGTTAACTCTATGAGATTTGTACTGTTGTTTGTAGTTGTTTACATTCTGCTTAATATATGACTTTGCATGGACATTTTTTGGTTTTCCACGTTTTGGTTTGTTCTTTTATAAAAAAAAGCTGATGTATGAATTCTTATGGACATTTTTGTTTTCCACAGTATATAGCAATGTTTCAAAGTATTTCAATTCAACATATAAAATTAATAATCAATATATAACCAAAAACGGGAATTCATTGCTGAGTGAATGGCTAACAAAGCAATAATTCCGATCATGTGTAAATTCCGCTCTGAATTCTTTACTTTATAATTACTTCAATTATAATTCTTCCATTTATATATTTCATATTAAAATGCTACCTTATAATTTATTTATTGTTTTGTGGTTGAGTAATTTTGTCATTAATTTAAATGAATATCAAAGGAATTCTGTCCAAATTGCCACTACGATTTTTTTTTAAATTATTAAAAAACATTTTATTACATTTTTATCATTTGTTTGTCGTTGTGTTTATTGGAATTAAAATGAAATTACTTTATAAAATTTACTAAGGTTAATTATCTTCCTAAATTATTAAAAAATATTTTAATACATTTATTATTTGTTTTTCGTTATGTTTATTCCAAATAAAATGAACTTACATCGTTTAATATTTAATTTCTTCGATTATAATTGTTTCATTATAATATTTTTTTTAAAATTTGCTAGGGTTAATTTTTTTTCTAAATTATTATAAAACATTTTATTACATTTATCATTTGTTTGTCATTATTTTTATTCGAAATAAAAATAACTTACTTGATTTAATATTTAATTCTTCTATTATCATTGTTTCATTTATATATTTCATATTTATATATTTCATATTAAAGTTGCTCCCTTAGATGAATAATTTTTTTCCAGTCTAAAATTAAAGTGGAGGCACTCAAGTCCGTAGAATTGCAATGGGAGTTACAGTTTGATTAAGTTATACGGTTTAGGGTTTCTCAAAATATGTTGCACTGTGTCTCATAATGGTTTTTAGATATGACGTTCCGTATTCCAATGGGTTGTGTGCATGTAGATGTGTTGTCAGTATTAATCATGGCGCGTTGTACCAGTTTGGGAGAATGGAACGTCGTGTTTCATCGTGTAAAGGGGCACTTCGTTTTCTGATGCGTGGGTGTGTCCTTCCAATGTCTCAAACCAAACTTTTATATATTGTGAATTTCCAGAATTTTTCGTTCCCATTGTGTTTCTCACAGTTTCTCACACTAAATACGTTTGAATCGTTCATTGGATTTCTATTTAATGGCGGATTCATCTTCTCTCAAGCGCAGAAAGATGGAGATCATCAAGGTTGAGTCCCTTTCCTCTCTGCCAACTGATTTGTTAACGATGATATTCGAAAAAGTGGCCTCTCACTCCTTAGAGGACATCGTTCACGTCAAACTGACTTGCAAGGACTTTCTGCAAATTTCCGAAACAGATTATGTTTATGAACGTGTTTCTCTGGACAAATTTGCTCTTGGTCCATTGGAATGGGTTACTGATGCAAAGCCTTTTCTTCACCGTGTAAGGGTTGTTAACTCTAACAGTGAAAATGTTGACGGGCCAGACGAAGATTACTTAGACCCACAGAGAATGTATAGGATAAACCGTAAGGTTTATTTCTTGCAACGGTGTAGGGGGAGTGGGAATTCGGAAGTGTTGTATCGTGAAGGGGTGGTTAATTACTTTCGCGAAACATCAGGTCCTGGTATGCAAGAAAAGGCCCTTGAAAACTTGAAAATTGTAGCGCTAAAAGGTCACAAGGAATCCCAGTACGTCTACTGCATTATGCTGCTCAGTGGTGTTGATGAAGATAAGAGGAAGGTGGGGTTCGAATTGTTTCGTGCTCTGGATGATGAACACATTGTGGGGCAGTGCAGGCTGCGTGTGAAGCGTTTCATCAGAGGCTTATGGGTGCGTAGAGAAGTCGTTTATCAAGGGTTACCTATATGCAAACCCAACCTGTGTGAGAGGAGAATGATTGGGGATGAATTTCTCAAATGGGAGGATGACGTAGTTAAGCAACTATCTGGGAAAAAACATGTCAACGTTGCAGTGCTGATTTTGAGATATATTTATTTTGTATAATGACCATAGTCTAAGATGACGACAATGTCGAGTCAGTTTTAGATTCATGTTTTTTTTTTGTTTTTTTGTGGGTCTATGTTCTTCTAAATCTGCACTGATGTCACTGATGGGATAATTTCAGGGGGGGTTATTTCTCAATTTTTATTTTTCTGGTGTATTTCTCTGTTGCAACGTTGTGTTTCGTTCTGTTTTATTAGTATTTTTTAATGGCATTCAGAAGTTGCAGTTTCTTTGTCATGTCATTTTTTCCTTCTATTCATTTGCACACGTCAATTTTTTGATGCTGTTATAAACAAATAACTGTGTTGTTTAAAAGAACGATAGAGCAAATATTGTAAATCCACTTTTAAATGCGCATAAAGATGGAAATTGTAAATCAACGTTTAAATGTTTCATTTAACAAAAATTAAATGAAAAAGAACAATTTTTATACGTATTACAAAAATAAACTTTCAACGAAATATAAATGATCATTTATAATAATTCCATTTAAAAATTTCACACTAACTTATCCATCTGATAAATTATTTTTTCATTTTATCACTGCCATTTTTTAATTAGATATAACTATTTGAAAATCTATTACCGTTTGTCCTTTAATTTTAAATGAATTGTTATAATCAGAACTTTACATTAATAAAATTAAAGCAATGGGGTAATGTGCTTATGTATTAATATAACTTCGACAAGTTAAAAATAAATAAAAGTTCAAGTTGAATTTTTATTTTTTCTATGATGTTATATCTTTATAATTGTGCATATAATGGTTGTCAAAGTTGTATATGACAGTTTGTGAGGGTTTTTGTTTAAGTAGAAACTCAAGAGACAGTCTTTTCATCTTCCCACCATCCCCAAAAGCATATACAACTCATTTTTTCACTATTACAACTCTTCTGAGCATGTTTGACGCTGTCAAGCTTGCCTTTTGCCATAGTTTCTGACTATAAAAATATATTGGGATATTTCAATACAAGACTGTCATGAATAAACATTCATCAGACTTAGAAACTCCCCCCAAAAAGAGAAGAAACACGGACCGTTTTAAACAACCTCAGAGTAATTCTTTGAACTCAGGTTGTCATGTCTTCTCTCCGTTTACTGGTTCGCCATTTACTGGTATGTTAGAAATAATATTCTTGAAGCTGTTGACTATTTCTGTGTTTATTTTTTTTTTTTGTTACTCTCATTGTACATTGCATGTATGTAGCGTTGTGTGAATGAAAGTGTATGAACTTCTGTTTCAGAAAGTTTATCTGTTGTTTTTTTTTCTCTTTTCATTGTGAACATGAGGACATAAACATACAGCTGTAGTTTTGAAAAAAATATAATAAATACATATATTTCTTCATATCCATACTTTGATTCATTGTTTTCTGTTTGTTGATTTGTAGAAAATCTATCTCCGTTCACTGACACCCAAGGCAGCGTGTATTTTTTATTTGGCTACGATTTCATCTCTGTTACGTTATCCAAGTTAATTTCAAATCCTTTTTAGTGCGATATGTTGTTGTTTCTGATTGTTGCTTTTTATAACATGTAAACTTTCTGACGTCATCAATGTACAACATCAGTTGAGCTGCAACAGACAACAACTCCGTAATGTTACTAACGGTAAATTATTGCTTTTGAAGAGGAAGTATAACAAGAAAAAAAATCATATATTTTTTTGCCATATAATTTCTGACGTATGGTACACTGATTGTACATAATAATCGATATGCATGTGTATTATTCTTATGATATATATTGCTTTTGAAGAGGAAGTATAAGGAAAAAAATGCTGTGTTAAATACCTTCTCTTATACGCGTGTGTTTGATTTTTTTTCTATTACATGAACTTCTGTTGCAGAAAGTTTATCTGTTGTTTTTTTTTCTCTTTTCATTGCGAACATTGGGACATAAATATACAGCTGTAGTGTTGAAAAAATATAATAAATACATATATTTCTTTATATCCAAACTTTGATTCATTGTTTTCTGTTTGTTGATTTGTAGAAAATCTATCTCCGTTCACTGACACCCAAGGCAGCAGGTATTTTTTATTTGGCTCTGATTTCATCTCTGTTATGTTATCCAAGTTAATTTCAAATCCTTTATAGTGTGATATGTTGTTGTTTCTGATTGTTGCTTTTTATAACATGTAGAATTTCTGACGTCATCAATGTACAACATCAGTTGAGCTGCAACAGACAACAGCTCCGTAATGTTACTAACGATAAATTATTGCTTTTGAAGAGGAAGTATAACAAGAAAAAAATCAATATTTTTTTGTCATATAATTTATGACGTATGGTACACTGATTGTACACAATAATCGATATGCACATGTATTATTCTTATGATATATATTGCTTTTGAAGAGGAAGTATAAGGGAAAGTTAAATACCTTCTCTTATACGCGTGTGTTTGATTTTTTTTCTTTCTATTTTAGCCCTGAACAATATTTCCTTCAAAAATTGTAAAAAATAGTTGTCGTTCAAACTCTAAAAAAAAAATATATGATATAATTCTACGTATGTAAACGTTATTATATTTATTCCTTCAAGGGGAATGAGTTGATATCAGTATGCCCAACAAAGATTCATTTGTTTTGTCTGTGTTCTGTTTTGTAGAAAATCTATCTCCGTTCACTGACACCCAAGCCAACATGTTTTATTTATTTCGCTCTTAATTCATTTTGTGTTGCGTTATAATTGGTTGGTTTCAAATAGTTTTTAGTGCCATTTGTTGCTGTTCCTGATTGTTGAATTTAATAACATGTAGACTTTCTGAAGTAAGCAATGTGCATAATCAGTTGAGCTGCAACAGACAACCGCTCCGTAATATTACTAATGGTAACAGTCAGTTCATTGTACGTAACACTTATTGTACATAATCATATATATACATATATTTTTCTTATGATACATAGTGCTTTTGAAGTTGAATTATAAGACAAAAAAAATGTTGTGTCAATTAACTTCTATCACACACGTGTCTTTGACCTTTTTTCTTTTTCATTCTTACCAAATATTGCTTCATAAATTGTATAAAAGTAGTTGTATTTTAAACCATAAAAAATATGATATCATATAACTTTCAACAATCTTAAACTTCGACGGTTGATAAAACAAAAATCAACAATGTCTGATTCTTTTTTCTTCGTTATTTTTGCGCTGTAAATATTATGTAGACAATTTTGTTGCGTTTTCTCCATCTCCTGTTCAGAGGTAAGTTGTATTTTTCATTGTTTTCATTTAAATGGAATGTATTCATCATTATTATAACTGTTTTTTTTACTGACATGTGCCATCCTATTTAAAAAAAAATCAGTGCTTGTCAAAACAGAAAACATGATCCTTTAAGAGTTCCTTCATCGAATGTTGATGATTGTCTTATTACTCATCCCACTCAAGGTAAGATATTAGCTAAAAAAAATGCCATGTGCTTCACATTATCGATTGTTTCTAAAGTCATTTCATTTACAAATTTGGCTCCTCTTTTTTTTTCTAGATACTAAAAATGCTAGAATAAGGCGAAAAAGCATACTGGCTCAAAAAACGAATTCTAAGCGGTTTATTAATATAGATGATATAACGAGAATGGAAGACTTAACAGGTAATTTATCTTGAAAAAGTTTAATTTGTGAACCATCTATTACAGCAAGAAAAAATATTAAAAATGTTCGTAATAAAATGAGGTCTGATATCTTCATTTTATGTTACAGGTACTGATATGAATAATTCCATTGTGCCTAACATTACTTCTAACAGTGAAGGTATTTGCATGAATTTAAATTTTCTTCATTTTCTGTATCGAATAAAAATTGTGCATCTTTCTTGATTTCTTCGTATTTTGTATTTATTAAGATTATTGGGATGCAGGAGATCCTACTTTTGTTTGCGAGAAATGTGGAGCACATTTGTGGTATGAGGAGAGAAATAAAAAAGATCGTAAACCCATCACACTAGAGTTTAGTTTGTGCTGCGTCAATGGAAAAGTAAAACTTCTTGTTAAAACTCCCTTCTGATGCGTTGCTTAAATTTCATGATAATTCAAATATCAAGAGCCGCCACTATTTACGGAATATTCGAGCATACAATATGATATTTTCCTTCACCTCCTTTGGAGAAAAAGTGGACGGATCAGTGAATCAAGGTTCTGGCCCTTATTGTTTTAGAGTTGGGGGACGAGTGCATCATTTAATAGGCAGCCTTATTCCAGCTGACAGTCTTACTCCAAAATTTGCTCAGCTATATATATATGATACTGACAATGAAGTTGACAACAGATTGGGTTGTTTAAGGCATGTTATTTTCTAATCTATTGTCATCTATCAATTACGGTGTATGTTTTGTTATTTATTTTTTACTTATTTTTATGACATTATTCTTGCAGTTCCATAAACAGTGAAGATATGATTGATCCTGATATTGTCCTATCATTGAAGGAAATGTTAGATAAACACAACAATATTGCTCAATCTTTTAGGTACGCTAGAGATCGATATAGGGAAGATGACTTCAGTGGAGTGAAGTTGAGGATGATTCGAAAGCGTGGCAGTTATGGCAAAGTTTATAATCTTCCCTCTGCATCAGAAGTTGCTGCTCTGATTGTCGGGGATATAGACACCGCATTGGGTGATAGGGATATTGTTGTTAAGACACAAGATAGAGTTTTGCAGCGTATAAATGTCAAGCATCCGTTGTATCTTGGTTTGCAGTATCCTTTGTTATTTCCTTATGGTGAAGATGGTTATCGTGATGATGTCGAGCGATCTTATATACCCCAAGGTAAGACGAATCCAGGATCCAATGTTAGCATGCGGGAATTCTTTTCGTTCAGGATTCAAATGAGGTCAGGAGAGTCCCAAGTTCTCCTGAACTCAAGGAAGCTTTTTCAACAATTTTTGGTTGATGCTTACACTATGGTTGAGTCTGATCGGCTGAATTTTATTCGATATAACCAGAGTCATCTCAGGGCAGAGTTATACAAAAATATAAAACATGCATTTGACAGGGGTGAAGATGAAGCTATAAACACTGGAAAGCGTATCATTATTCCTTCTTCGTTCACAGGTGGAACTAGGTATATGGCTAAGAATTGTAAAGATGCCTTTGCAATTTGTCGTTGGGCTGGATATCCTCATCTGTTTATAACGATCACCTGCAATCCTAAGTGGCCAGAGATTACCAGATTTCTTAAGGCAAGAAACCTTAATGCTGAAGATCGTCCTGATATTCTTTGCAGAGTATTCAAGTTCAAATTGGACCAATTGCTATATGATTTAAAAAATGGTCGTTTTCTTGGCACATTTAATGCACGCAAGTGTATCCTACCAAATTTTTTTTATGTATCCTACCAAAAAAATTCTAAATAAAAATCGACTATGACCAATTTGTTGATTTTAACTATCTCTGTTTGTTTGTTTCAATGTAACAGGTGTTTGTACAGTTGAATTTCAGAAACGTGGACTGTCTCATGCTTATATTATACTTTTGTTGCATCCCTCCGCAAAGCCTAATACTGAACTTGACATTGATAATTTGATTTCAGTTGAGATTCCTAACAAAGATTTCAATCCTTCACTTTTTGCAGCTGTCACGAGTTACATGATGCATGGACCCTGTGGTCCTGACAATTACAAGTCTCCTTGCATGAAGAACAGACATTGTTCAAAGAAATTTCCCAAGAAGTTCTGCTCTCGTACTTTTATTGATGATGATGGATTCCCTCATTATAAAAAAACAAATGATGGGAGTGTTGTCAAAAAGAACGGCGTTGAACTTGATAACCGTTATGTTGTGCCGTATAATGTACAACTTCTTCTAAAATATCAAGCGCATATCAATGTTGAATATACCTGTCAGAGTAGTGCCATTAAATATCTTTTTAAATACATTCATAAAGGGCAAGACAGGGTGACAGCTGCTATAAATCATTCAGATGATGAAATCAAAATGTTTTATGATTGCAGGTTATTGAATTCATATCGGTTATGTTTTCATTTCGTCGCCTGCTTCAACGTTTTTCTAACTTATTTTGTATTTATTGCTTACATAAAATAGGTATGTGTCTGCATGTGAAGCTGCTTGGAGAATATTCGGATTTGAAATTCATTATAGATTCCCCCATGTTCAGCGATTGCCATTTCACCTACCCAATGAAAAGAGCGTTGTTTTTAGTGATCATGCTTCAATAACTGATGTCAAGACTAGGGCAGAATCTAGACAATCAATTTTTGAGTCTTGGATGGATGCAAATAAAAAATATCCAGAAGGTAGGCATCTTACTTATGCAGAGTA